GTCAAATTTTCAACCAATTAATCACCTAAAGACTTTACATGATTCATTTACTTATGGTTCATATTTCATGTTTCATAAGGTATACTTTTATATTAAAATTTCTTGGTGCAGCTCGTGCGCCATAGATATTCAAGAACATTTACTTTTGGATTTTTTTTTGAAAATCCAAAAGGAGATATATGTATCTATATTTTTTTTCATGGGGCTACATAATAGTGGGCAGTCCATTCCCTAAACCCATAACCCCCAACCCTTGGCGAAGATTGGATTTGATCCAAAGTCTCTTCTACAACCAGCTAGAAATCTAGCCAATTCAGAGAATTGGTGCCCCGATGTATCTATATATCTTATTATATAAGGCTCAGCTTGGAAGGAGTACAAATATAAATATATATAGTGCAAAACCTTGTATTTTTGTATTATTTTGTCTATGTACATATTTGTTTTTGTACTCCTTCCTAACTGAGCCAAAAAAGAAAGAGGGAGGTGAAAGGTCCTTCACGCCAGTGCCCACGTGGACCTAATGTGAGAAATTTCTATGTAAAAGTTCAGGATAAAAGAGAAAATAATTAAACTCGACAAGAATATATACATGGAATAGAAAAGTTTGATCATGTTACTTAAAGTTAAAGTTGGAAGGTGGAGAAAATTATAACTCTTCCAAAGCTAAATAAGGAGTAATTTCGATTGTTAAAAGGCATCCAAATCATACAGACGGTCCATTCTAACTTAAAAATTAAAAAATTAAAAAATAATTAAAATAAAAAATGGTCAAAAATCATTGTTTGGGTTAAACAGATCGACAGTTTGATTGTTCAGGTCAATGGATTGTTGATCAAGTCAATGATTTTTTGTCAAGGACTGGGTTAAGGGTGAAACCGAACCAATTGCTTGAAGGGTTTCTGGGCCAAATAGTCTAACCATCTAAGTCAATGACAATTTGAAAACACTATCTGAACGTTAACTGCAATTATGGGTTTCCTAACCCTATTATTAACCCTTAATCTAGTGTTTTAAACCAAATACCAATTGGCGTATTCACATTTTGTTTTGAGGTCTCCAGATTGTCTGGTGACTACTGATGTATTCACCATGATTTTCAAAACTGGACCGGATTGAATGGTCGGACCAGAAAAACCGGTAACCGTTCAGCCCCCAAGTCCGGTTATACTGTAAACCGTTATTTAGTAAATAACCATTGAAAAAGTAAAAAAACCGCTGATCCGAGTGGTCGAACTGATAAACAGTTCGACCCGGGCAGCGGTTCGCGGGTAGCGAAATTCATTTTTGTTTTCGTTCTAACCCTTCCAAGTTCCAGCCTTCCTTCTCATACTCCAACGACGCAACCGACGACCTACAGCAGCCATGACCGATGTCGACCGATGACCCAACCACAACCAACGTCGACCAACGGTGAACCACGACGATCGGCGACTGCCGTTCGGATTTCCTTCCTCAAAAGGGTTTCTTCATCTACGGCACAACACCAAGGAGCAGCGGCGGATTTCCTTCCTCTTGTAATCAGTAGTAACAAGGAGCAGGGGCGGTCGGCGATTTTGCAGCAGCGGCTGGCGATTTTGCAACGGCGGATTTCCTTCCTCTTGTAATCAGCAGCAACAAGGAACAATAAGGAGCAGCGACGGTTGGCAATTTTGCAGCAGCGGCTGTCAAAGGAGTACATCTACTCTGCTTTGTGAGCAGCGAGAACAGTGTCATTGCTCCTCCTCGCTCCTCTCCTTCCCATCTCTCCATTTATTTTACCTGATTCTAGTTCTCATTCTCATTCTCCCCCATCCTCTTGCTTTTATTTTATTGTTTTTTTTTTTTTTAACTTTCTCCATCCCTATTACAAAGAACAGAGACTGTCGGCTCCACTGTTTATCACAGTGAAGAAGAAGAAGTTTTTTTCAGTATTTTTAAGAATTTTTAAGAAGAAGTTTCTATTTGTTATGTACTTTGTTATTTTTATATTTAGATAGTTTTATTCTTCTGTTTTACTTTTCTGTATTTTTTGAATTTTCTTGTGTTTTTTTCAGTAATTTTAAGAATTTTTCTGTATTTTATTTATATATTTTCCATGTGTTTTGTACTGTATTATTTTTGTTTAAATAGTTTTATTTTCTGCATTTTTTTTTAATTTTTATTTAATTTTATGTTATTATTTATTGTTTATAAATATTTTTTATTTTAATTTATTTATAACATCATGAGTCAAACTGTTCAATCTAAACAGTTGAACCGGTTAACCAAAAACCTGTCCCCTGACCGTTTCTGTTTCCGATTCGTTTTTAAAACCCTTGGCATTCACATTATCTTTGAAGATTATATGAAACTTATCTTTGGCTGCCATGGTAATGGTTGGCAACTTCAAGTAAATAATGGTCTTTAAGAAAGGAGCATTTCAAATTGCATATTTTTCGAAAAAAAACAAAAAAAAAATGAAATAATCCGGACAAAAAATGTATGACACAAAGGTACGAAGAAAAAACAAAAAATTGAAATAATTCTTTGTTCTTGTTTCCAAATTGTACATGAATTTCTTATCTTTTTGCCGTTTTGCCAAGTTGGTGTGCAGACTGATTCCTCTCTGGTCTTCACCCAAAGGTATGCAGAAAAAACAAAAATAAATAAATAATGCTAAGATAATATACCTTTCATTATAGGCAGATAAGGTACAATGTCCTTGAAACCCCACCCCAAAAAGTAAATATATAAAAACCTAGCTATATTAACTTATATCTTTGCATGTTTAGAGAAAGTTTCTCTCTCTTTTATGAAATATTAGATTTTTACTATAATTTATAATTATTGCAAGCAATTTATTTTATTAATTTTGTATTCCTCTCCTATTATTCTCCGTTTTCCACCTCATCTCTATTTTACGAAATCCAGTTCTCTCTTTGATTCAACATAATATACATAGCATGCCACGTGGCTAAAAGAAATAAGACTGGTAAAAACTTTTTGCTAGACTATTTCTTTGTTGTAATGGAACAATATTCCAGAATTCATCATTTGATAAATTGAAATACAAAATAATGCCACTTCTTGCTTCCCAATGTCAGGATTTTTTTAACCTTATTTTTACTTATTTTTACAATGTTTTTACTACAGTTTTCAACTTTCCACACATATTCTACTAGTGGCATGAAAAGAAGATAGTTTTTTTTTTTTTATGTTTTTTCTATATTTAACGTCACCATGCTCCTCCATATAAATGCACTGCACGTGCAAATCACGCACGCTGGACCTATCCAATCTAGTAATATTAAGTGGATGATAGGCTCATAGAATAGATTAGAAAAGAAGTCATGCACTCATGCTTGAGCTGGTTATTACATTGGATAAATTAGAAAAAGTCACGGTTTTCAAAATCGGATTGGATGGGATGGTTGGATCGTTATTTTGTCAAAATCTTTGATTTGGTCAGCAAACTAATAAATTTAATGGTTTTAATCGTTTTTTAATTTTTTTGTCAAAATGGGTCATCTGTTCAATTCGAATAGACGGATCGATCAACCCGGGAACTAGACTCCTGATCGATTCATTGTCCGATTCAGTTTTAAAAACCTTGGAAAAAAATCTATAATACTAGAAAGATATGATACCAGAAGTATTTTCACCAATCAAAAAATTTCGTGGAACGCTAAATATTATGACCATTGTTGTATATTTAATTTTGTTATCTACTACCAGCCAAAAAACAGTGGGATTTTTACTATTCAATCCATTCTTAGAAATCTTAATTCCACTGTACAAGTTGGATGAATCTGACCTTGGATCGATGTCAAATTCATAGACAATATGTAGTTTATCGGGGACTACTAATAGATTAAGAGAAGGCTGTAATTTCATATTTCTGAGGTGGAATGCAGTTTACTTATCCCAAAAACAACACGTTAATATTCTAGTAGTGCGGATTCCACTAGCACATCAGGAACACATCTCCTCATGAATGTAAAAATTTTCCTTGACGATAAATCCCATCAGTTTTGGCTCATATAATGATGCATATAGAGCTGCCAATGGGTTGGATCTATCCTTTCTCTGGATTAATAATTATATTTGATTTTTTAGTTCTTGTTTGTTTAAAACTGATTAAGACCCAAACTGATTATTGAATTAATAATATATAAATATTTTCAAAAACTTTTTTATAATTTTTATTATATTTTATGTCTTAATAAAAGATAATTTTGATAGATAATATATAAAATAATTTTATTTACTATTTTACTGTCATTTTTATTGATATTATATTATCAAAATAAAATTTCAAATTATTATTATTATAATCGCCTAATGGCCCTAATCGGATGATTATCTCGATGAATAATCGGGACGGTTCTGTGCAGGATATCCGCATAAGTGGGTCTATGTTTACGTTGACTCGGTATTGGCTTTACGTGGTGTCTGTGTAACCAATAGTAACGCTCCACGACTGCCATACACGCAAAGTGAGAGCATATAAAGGTGACCTGGGCAGTTCTTATTAGCTGCACAGCTATCACGTTCAGGTAGCAATTCCGTCCATGGGATCAGTTTGCCGTGAGAAAAGTGCCTAATAAACAACAAAACGGCCGAAACTGAAGTGGGCGATCACTGTAGCGCATCCGCATCTATCTCCATCATCCAATGGATACCATGAGGGTCCATGCTCAGGCCAGGATCCATTCAGTGCCGTAGATCACTAAATCATATCCATCCAAATTTTGAGATTATGGGATAGACAAATCATGCATCAAGAACTGGTTCCATCGAGAATAGTTGTAACGATTTACATAAGATCTCAATCGTACGCCACATCCGGTGAAAACGAATTAATATGCAGGAAATGAGAAGTGGACCACGATGCAGGGAATCGGTGATTGACCGGTTCAAAGGTTTTTGATGGGGCCCAGAAAAACGTAAATTTTTATTTTGAACGTCTTCCTTAAACGCGTGGTTGAAGTTTCCACGCAACATTTCTCATTTCACTCGGAAAATCGTGAAACCCTTCTGCGCTTTTGCCAGACTCTCCGCCTTTCTTTCTCCATCATTTCTCAATCTGTGTATATTTATTCATGCAAATTCCTTTCCAGAAAGCAGATAGACGAGACGCAAACCTCTGGTTTTACTTAACGGAGGAGGAGGAAGAAAGAGCAGCGCGACCATGGAGGATGTCCCACCTGGTTTTCGTTTCTACCCAACTGAGGAAGAGCTGGTTTCGTTTTATCTGTATAACAAGCTTGAAGGGATTGGACCTGACTTGGAACGTGTTATTCCCATCGTCGACATTTACGAGCTCGATCCATGGCAACTCCCACGTTAGAATCCTTACTTCCTCTTCTTCTGAGTTTACTACCCTTTACTGTGTATCTTATCAAGAGATAAAATCGGCATGAAATGACAAGAAAAACTGAGACTAACTTGTTTTCATTTTCTTGGGTTTTAGAGGTTTCGGGAGAGCTCTGTCATGGAGACCCGGAGCAGTGGTTCTTCTTCAGTCCTAGACAAGAGCGAGAAGCCCGTGGAGGGAGACCGAACCGGACGACGAATTCTGGGTACTGGAAGGCGACGGGCTCTCCTGGTCTTGTTTACTCCTCTGGTAATCGAATCATCGGTCTGAAGAAAACCATGGTTTTCTACAAAGGGAAAGCTCCTACTGGTACGAAAACCAAATGGAAGATGAACGAGTACAGAGCTACCCAAGGAGAAGCCACCTCATCTAGCAGTGCAGCTCCACTGGTAAGAACTAAGAAGGAAATCAAATACTACACACAGAGGCTCCAAATCCTCTGCAAACAGATCGTGTACAACAGGCTACGTAATCCATTCATGAGTACACACGTCAGTTGCTAGTACATCTGATTGGGTTACGTACTCTGTTGTATACATCTTGTTTGTAGCAGAATCATGTTCAAGTCTGCAACTAAAATCATTTTCTACCCTTTTGGCAGTTGAGGCATGAATTCAGTCTGTGTCGAGTTTATGTGAAATCTGGATGTTTGAGAGCATTCGATCGACGTCCTGTAGGAGCTAGGACAAGCGAGGCACCAATGCAACAAGGTCATGTGGATAGGGGGACGACGTCTCATCGCAATATTTCTTCATCTCTGGAGAAACTCAGCTCACCTGATACTTCATCTTCAGGCGATCAAGCTCATGACGATTCTACTCAGCTTGGAGAAAGTGTCGACTGGAAGATGACAAATGAATTTAACCCTCTATGGGAATGGGAACAACTGAATTGGTTCTGAAGAAATTAACAAAGTAAAGGTCTCAACCCAAGAGTTCAGTTGACAGAAAATCTAACAATTAGACTGTTAATTTCTTAGGACAAACTAGGTCTCAACCCAAGTTGGTTGATAGAAATCTGTGTAATAATCTTAAGGGAGAGGCTGCATGCGAATGTTCCATCCCAGCTTACCTACTAAATCAATAGCTTGAAAGAAGTAGAAGGTGGGAATAGTTCTTTTTGTTTCTCTTTTTTATTGTTTAAGAATTTCTTGTGTTTTAATTTTTTTCCAGAAGAAAGGAGAGTTGAATTGAATTGCAGGAAAATGTAAATTCTTCTGATATCAAAAGTGATTTGTGTGATATTGAAACAGAATTTATTTACTTTAAACCATCATCGTCACTTGTGGAGCATCAGTACGCGATACAAATCCCATATTTTATTAATTTTTTACTGGAATGACAAATTTCAGGACAACTATATCCTAACTAATCACTGTTAAATTTTTTTCCAGGTTTTGTTTGTATATGTTACACATATTTAATTAATATCTTCGCATGAGAGAAATTGAAGTGTAATTGGTGAGAGCGGATTTGAGAGTTTACTTGTTTGGAAAAGAAGAAAAAAAAAAAAAAAGATTGAATGGCCAAGAAATCTTTGATGTGGTACGTGAATTGAGTTGAGGACCAAAGTTGTGAGTTCGCAAATCTGCGAGCGACTGTGGTTGCAATGCTCTCTTGTGAACCACTAGTGAAACATGAACACGCCAGTGATGGATTTCACAAAATATTATGAAAGAGGAAGTTGAGGGAAAGTTCTGAACGAATTCACAAAATTTTAGGAACTTTCCCTCGGCTTTCTGTTTCTCTCCTATTTTTTCTATCAAAAATTCAAATCAAAGACAACCTAAGAAAAGGAATAAATTGGACTCCAAAAGGCCCCCCTGCATTTCTCTCCTTCAATTAATGGACACTGGCGTCCTTCCAAGCACCTTAATTACTGATGAACACATGAGAACAGTTAGCTTAGATGTTTTCACAATGAAGTGCATGGATCGATCTTGGAATGAACGAAGATGTATAAATTCGGTTTAATTGGACTCCAAAGGCTGCATTTGGACATGATGCAAATGAAGTGTAAATCCTGGTTTAGAGTAAATTTGTATTCCCGTTCACTTTTGCCTTTGGCAATATTACATTTATGCATTGACAAATGAAGAAAATACATTTTCAATGTATATTTATATTGATAATAAGTTGTAAAAGTACATCAATAAGAAGTAAATTTGCATTTGAGTGAGCTTTTGATAAAAAAAAGTATATGCTTTATTGGAATTCGTGTTTGCATCCATTACAACTAAAAGTTTGTTTGATAAGAAGGTAAATTTGTCGATGCAAAACTAACCCAAACTTCACAATTTATATAGACCATTTTACATTCTACAAATTTGCATTCACACTTATTTGTATCTTTTCTAAACACAACCAAAAGGAATTATTGTTTCTTGTTTTGACATGAACCAAACCCTGATATTGGATTGATCATTTGGTTGAATGGTACATATGAACATGCATTCATATAAGCCAAAACTCAACTCAAATAAATGGGATCAGCTGCTTGAATCCTATTATACCATTCTGCTTTGTTTAATTCTATATCCACTTTTAATTTAGGGAAAATTCCCGATTAGTACCTAATACTTTGGGCCTAGTGCCACTTTGGTCTCCCAAACTTTAAAATGCAACAATTCAGTACCCAAACTTTTAAAATGTGACAATCCATTACCTGCAGTTAACTAGTTGTTAACTAACCGTTAAGTGACATTTAAAAAAGACACAAATGCCCTTCAAGTGTCATCAAATTTTCTTTACCAACCATCCAAACATTGATAAAAAATAACAATCTCAAATTATTGCCTCTTCTATTCAAGAAAGTTGGGGTCACCAAAATGGCCATTCAAACATGACCCCAACTTTCTTGAATGGAAAAGGCAAATATTTGAGATTGTTAATTTTTTGTCAACGATTAGATGGTTGATAACAATTGAAGGGCATTTGTGTCTTTTTCAAGTGACACTTAATGGTTGGTTAACAATTGAAGGGCATTTATATATTTTTCAAATACCACTTAACAACTGGTTAACAGTTAGTTAACGACAGGTACTGGATTGTCACGTTTTAAAAATTTGGATACTAAGTTATCGCATTTTAAAGTTCAGGGACTAAAGTGGCATTAGGCCCAAATTACAGGGTACTAATCGGGAATTTTCCCTTTAATTTATAAGCCCTCAGTCCCTCACAAATTACTATTACTATAGCATCAAAAGGTAAAATACCTAAAAGAAGTAAAGAAATTGATTCAACCCAAGCCAACTAACTGAACCCTAGGACTGTTCATAAGAAGACCTAACCCGACCAAACCGACCAACCCAAACCGACCCAACCTGAGTCAGCCGGGTTTTTTTTAGCACCGGTCGGTTTCGAGTTGTAAAAAATCATAAACCGATGGTTCAGGTCGGTTTCGGTTTTCATGTGTGAAAACCGAATCAACTTAGTAGTTAGTTCCTAGTTAGTAGTTACAACCTACTTAACTAAGTTGTCTCTATCCTAGTTACAACCTAACTTAATTTCTAGTATTCTAGTTAGGAATGACATTAATGGCAAGTATTGTAAGGCAAATAGACAAGGAATTTCTTTGGAAAAGTTTAAAGAAAAGAATCAAAGGATCCTAATTTTTATGGTCTTTTACACCAAATAGGCAACCAATTACAATTATAATTAGGTGTCATTTTTTACTTAGATTAGAAGGTTTCTTGAAATATACAAAATTCAGTCTTCTTTCTCTAATACAGTTTGACTTTCTATTTTCTTGATACATGAACTCAATTTTTTATGTGCTTCACAAAGTTATTGGCATGTTTTCTCTTAATTTATGTGCTTTCCTTGCTGGATGATGTTGCTAGCTACTTCTCTGACGCCCAATCTACCAATTTATTACCATGGTTGAACTTAGAGCCAAAACCGACCCAAACTAAACCAACCCGACTCAAACCGACCAGGTCGGTTTTGCTTAACATAGGGTCAGTTTCGGTTTCAATTTGAAGTAACCCGATCAGGTCGGATCGATTGAAAAAATCTCAATAAACCGACCCAACCCGACCCATGAATAGCCCTACTGAACCCAACTCTATTTCAGTTAAGGAATATAATTCTAAATCAGACTGTGTCAGAGTACATAAATTATAGGTTACAGGTTGAAGGTCAGATTGATTAAGGTTAGGTTACAGGTTCAACACCTTGGGTTGGGTTAAGATTGAGATCAACATGCTATACAATTTTGGTTTTCACTATGTCTTATAGATGGAACCAATCAATTGATTGATTCCAATATATATATATATATGTCGTACAATTACATGTATTAAATAGACATGCTTATTTAACCTTCAAAAAAAAAAAAAAAACACATGGCTATTTATATAATAGTTCTAATTGTAAGTGGAAGGTGACATTTTCCGCGTGGGCGCCCTTGTATTTTGATTAATCCAATGGCGACCAATTAAGAGTGACACTGCAGTCCAAGTACTCAGTAGCAGTAGCTAAAAACAATAGATCAAGGCCAGGTCAATGAATTTCAGTCGATCTTATATAAATAAAAATCTCTCCTTATACCCAATATTAAAATCGAAACTTTGTGCCATGAGAGGTCAAAATTAAATATTAAGGAAAAAAATAAATAAATATCTAATAAGAGGAAAGAGACCCACACACCTTCTTGAAAACTGGTCCCAATTTTTTTTTCTCATTATTCTTGAAAAAAAAGGAAGAATGACTCTTCAGCCAACCCCTAAGTCTTGTTAGCTGTAGAACTGACTCGAATCTTGACCCTAACTAAGTCTGGTCTGGGGTGAAGAAGTCCAAAGGACCCACATACCCTCCACGTAGCAAATTGTTTGGAATCTACTAAATGAACTACATTACACTGAAAGCCAGCACTGCGTTGTGAGCTGTTGGAAACCAGAGCAACTCGTTTCCTGGATCTGCTAAGAAAAAGACGATGTATAATGAGAACAAAGCTTGGTACACCAAAAACAAAATTAAACATAGGCCAGCAATAAGTATCTCTGATCTGGAGTACCAAGTTCCTAGCCCATGTTCTTCTTTCTATAGTTGGACTGTATATTTGTCAACCTTGATAATTGTAGCGAAATGGGATTGTTGAAACATGAAGGAGAAGTTCTGAAGTGTGTTTGAAGATGTTGTCTTTAAAACGTTATTTGCTCTTAATTGGTTTTATTGAGTTTGTTGTTGGATTACAATTAAATCCATTCCCAAGATATAATAAAGTCTTGGGCAAAAATTTGCAATCAACAAAATTGAAGAGTTTCCGAAGGAATCTTCTATAAAACAGTAGTAGACCGGAATGGGAGAGGAACAAAGTGTTTTTCGAAATTGCGTATACAAATGCTTGATTCACACTCCTTAAATAAATTCTGAAGGATCATGGAAGAGAGGAAGGTGTTGGTTCAAAAAAGACTCCTTAAACAATCACACTTTCAAAAATTGTGATTGTTAAAAAATAATTAACAGAGCCTTTGGATTATGTCTTTTGATAACACCTGATTGAATCGTGGTCTTTGATCACACTAATGGTCAGCCTTGTATCAAAAGCTAAAGTCACCATTCCCGAGCAAAATGCGCATCTAAAGTGCCCCATTGCGCTACACACACATACACATGCACATTGCACAGTAGCAAGCCTCCATACTCTCCTTTTTATATCTAAGGAGTGTAAATAGTTCCTATTAAAAACCCAAGACAATTCTTGTAATTTTCCAATGTAGAGCAAATTAAAAACAGATTTTAATATGAGAAAAACTATTTTTCAAAACATGTGTCCAAGTTTTGGATTAATGTGTAAATGAAATTAAAATCCAACACTTTACACCAGACGTGAGGATATGAATCTGAAGCTTGGACAGAAAAAACATGATGTGATTCGAGAAGAGACTATCTCTGAGAGCATTTGGGTTAATACCCTTACAATAAATGTTGGATTTCTGAAGTACCTCTGAAGTTCTGCTTCTCAGCTGATCATGGCGATGCTGTTTCAGTTGCGTGTTTTGTGGTCGAAATTTGGTGGCAAAGACATATCCGGCCATACCATTGGCTTAAAGCATTTTCTAGTTTCAAAGCAAATCTGGACTCATTTTGATGCTGTCCTCCTTTTTATTTATTAAATGGTCAGTTGGTAACTTTTATTACACTTTTATCAGATGCTGGGATGCCATGGACTTCCTGATATTAAATGTATTAAATGCTGAGATGGTTGAAAACTTTTCTACTTTTTGTCAAAAACTAATTTGGGCCCCTGAGAAGAATTGT